TTGGGGCGTTTTTTTAATAAAACAATTATTCCACTCTCGCTTGTTGGATATGAGATGATTATAGCCAACGAGGCGCGTAGCGCCGAGTTGGCTATCTATCATCTCATATCCAACGCGCGCTCGTGAAATAATTGTTAATCATATGTATTGGGACATAATAATTCCCCATACATGACGTACCTACCCATGTCCTTGGCTACCACCGGTGACCAAAAAACTTGTGGTCATCCATATACGGAGGTAGGTGTGTGATTTTTTCGCATTTTGTATGCAATCTCGACATTCCTGAAGCCATCGATAAACAATCATGACATTGTCTTATCAAGAACATTATAATACAGATTTTTGCAGAAGCTGTATTTGTTGCATATTGCATGCTTAAAACCACGATATTTGCATCACACGGAGTCACTTTGCGATAAGCTTCATAGGTGATGAAGAAATTAGAGCCGTTGTTTTTCAACAGTCTTCTACATTAAGCATTCCACCACAGCGTTGATTTGACCATAGAGCTCCGTGTATGGATGACCACAATTCTTTTGGTCAGCAGTGGTAGCCAAGGACATAAGATGATGCAATCAAAATGGCAGAAAAAATCTGATCGGAGCGGCCGATCGGAGGAAACACCGGAAGTTTTGTAGCCTTGTGCTGAGGTCCCCACTCTAAATTATAAACAAAGTGGCACCCACGATCGCACGCGGGAGAATTAACATTTCTAGTAGCACTTTTTGAAGATTCAGGCAAATGTTCGTAGCATGAAATGCCACTTTGATGACGACCTCCTAAGTCGCACCAAGTATTTATTGTTTTCATCCTTTCTTAATCTAATTAGGGGGTCCAGAAGGGGGTCCAGAAGGGGATCCAGAAAGGGGGGTCCACGTTTTGTACCGTCCCGAGAACTTCTGTAACTGCCAACAAAGTCAGGTTTCAAACATGCGCTTTAAAATTTATTCAGTCGATCGCGGTTGCTAAAGGAACAAAATAATTACTTGCTATTACGAAATACAAGTAGAAGGAATAGAAACGTAAACAACAGAGGAAAGCAATCGGACTAGGAAAGACACTTACAAACGTTGTATGATTTGTGGACACGAAGGACAGAAAGACTAAGAGTTGATTGCAGTGAAGGAATCGATGTCTACCTAATGACTCTGATACTCTAGTGCAGAATTTTACCGTGAAGCTTATACAATGTGCGTGGAAAACACAAAAAGTGTAATTGGTAACGTAAAAGAAAGAAATCACCTGATGGGAATGCCGCACTAACAACTTCACCGTGTGAATTTTGTCAGGTGCACGATGTAAACCTGATTTATTGGCTTTTATCGTTTTCCGAAAGAAGTCGGACGCTTTTAGAGATTTTTAAATTTTTCTTTTTGTAAACGTAAGGTAAAATGTCTAACTTCAATCTAGTCCGATAACAGAAAAAACGATTTTTTCGGCCTCTGAATGGGGGAAGTAACCTTAAGTGATTCGAGATTACATCATGATTTTGCTGTACTTCAAGAAAACTCACAGGAACCGATATGAGAGTCAATATCAGTCAATCTAGTGATATGATATATTTAGTATTACTAAGTTAAGATTTTAATTTAAAAGTCCGAAGGTATTGGGTTTTTAGTTGTCACGATGAGTTTCCTGATTTTGACGGCCTTGTCTAACATCCGTCAGTGGACGTGGCTTGTTTATCTTTTGACTGATTTGGACCTACACTGAAGTTCCTGTTTTCCGGATCTCACAATAAAAGATTGATAGTTCGATCGAAAGCATCAAGTACATTGTTGTTCATTCGTCATATCCTCGCGAAAGTGTTTGGGTTGGTGTTCTGATAAGAAATGTCTAATTTCCAACGCTCATGCTAAGCGCTAGTGTCTATAAAAGTGTCCACAAAAGAGTGAGTAGTTAGAGAATCAGAGTCAGAGTTGATGAAAATGGTCAAGGAGAAAAGAGGTGAAAGAATTTGCCGTGAGCAGAAGACCACACATTGTAATACAACTGGTTGAGACATTGGCATCCCAAGCTCACGTTTCGAGGAAAAGACAAAGATATTTCATAAAAGTGTCACGCTGAGCTTAAGGTGAGAGCACGATTGATCAAGAACACTTTCTTTAGAGAGTGTGATTGAAGAAATTCCTAACTTAATCGTTTTTTCGAACTACAACTAAAGCTATAACCTTAAGCCTGCATCCTAACCGGGCACAAGACAGATAGACTGACTGCCGAAGTGATTTACAGCGGAGCGTAAATAACTTTCGAATATATCAGTCAATGAATTGAATATATGAAAATCATATCTGTGTACTGTGGATTTAAGAAATGTATGAAAGCGATCCTCACAGTAATGAACACTACTTATGTAGCAGTTGTAGTTTACAGAACTTATCGATTCGGCTAAGGTATTTTCATTCTAATGCGCTTCCCCAAATTTCAATTGCATACAAAAATAATGTCATAATTAAGCATTAAAAAGAGCCGTCAAATCCTCCTGCGAATAACCATA